GTTCGAAAGAGCATAAAAAAAGAAAACTTTTCGCGCAAACCCGAAGTCAATATCTCAAACCGTTTCAAAATGGCGGCCGGTTAAAGTTCAAAATGGCCGAAAATTCACACCGGTTATTTGTCGATGGATTTGCGCGAAAATCGGTATGTAGGGGTATTTTGACACGAGAAAAACGAATTTGACGTTAGATTTTCAAAAAAACCGAAATTTCCAAAATGGCCGCCGGTTAAAGTTCAAAATGACCAAAAATTGATTTTTTTAGAAATCTAAGTTCAAATTTGTTTATCTTATGCCAAAATACTCTCAAATTCCAAGTTTTAGGCAAATCCATCAGCAAAAAACCGAGGTGACAATTTTCGGCCATTTTAAACTTTAACCGGCGGCCATTTTGGAAATTTCGGTTTTTTTGAAAATCTAACGTCAAATTCGTTTTTCTCGTGTCAAAATACCCCTACATACCGATTTTCGCGCAAATCCATCGACAAATAACCGGTGTGAATTTTCGGCCATTTTGAACTTTAACCGGCCGCCATTTTGAAACGGTTTGAGATATTGACTTCGGGTTTGCGCGAAAAGTTTTCTTTTTTCATGCTCTTTCGAACGAGCTATCACAAAGGGGGTCTTTCTATTTGAAAATTAAAAGTTGGGGGCCGTTGTCCCCCCAAGGGGGCCCCCCTGAAAATTTTAGGGGGGCCAAAAAGTAGCTCCCTTCGACCTAGGAATATCCCCCAAGTTTCAAATCTTTACCTCAATTAGGTAAAAAGTTAGAGGGGGTGGAAGGGACTTTTGGATCACCCTGTATACCCAGAGTTACGACAACTCGATTATCAGCTGACTGGCAGCAGTCCTTGGCTGGCCATGGAGGCCGAAACGAGTGCACCCAAACGAACGATATTGAGGGATAAGGATCAGGAATCCTGCGATGTCTGTCACACAAAAACAACAACATCAACAAATTGATCAATTAAAAAGAAAATGAGATTGGTTTGTGAATAATTTCTTAATCTATTTTCATTTTGGACCGATGGAAATAACAATTAACTCTTGATAAACCACAATTAGGTAATATTTTCATTATTCTTGTTCACATTCGAGGTACCGCCATCTTGGTGCACTCGTTTCGGCCTCCATGAGCGAGAACCAATCAGAATTGGATTTTTTTTTAGGCCACTCTCAGCCCAACCAAAAGTGAGTTGTCTTAACTCTGGGTATAAAGGGACTCTATGGGTATAAAGGGACTCTAATTTAGACTTATCACTCAGTACTGCTCATAGAAGTTTCTAGATCCTCGTATCCTCGTGGTCGCCCCGCAGTTTGGAAGAGTTTAGTGTGAAAAGTTTCCCAAATTCCCATTTTCATCTCAATCTTCGTCAGTCTTCGGGCATGGACCAAGAGAATAAATAAGGACCCCCAACTCCGGTTAGCGCTGACATCAGCGCTCCCTGGCAGAGGGTGTAGTGAACTAAACCGATGATTGGGTCTTCCTGTTTATATTTCCATGCACCACCTATTTAGGCTTATCACTCAATAGTGCTCATAGAAGTTTCTAGATCCTCGTATCCTCGTGGTCGCCCTGCAGTTTTGAAGAGTTTAGTGTGAAAAGTTTCCCATTTTCATTTCAATCTTCGTCAGTCTTCGGGTACATAAACTGGTATTAATGTGAAGTGTTAGTTCTAACCGTTTTACTCAGCAGCAACTGCTGTTGAGAAAGCCAAAGGAAGTGTGTATGTGGTGTGCAGCAGGAATCAGGATTGTACTTCTAGCCGAAGGCGCCTCTCTGTTAAGTGAAATCTTTTTAGTGAGAAATAGTGTTGTACTGATAAAAATCAACTAAGTGTCACAAAATCAAAGATACTTGACTTCAAGCATTACCTTTGATTTGATTATCAGCAAGTCTCTTTGAGGAAAAAGTTTAGTATATGGACCGTTCCCGAACATAACCTATATCCCCACCCCCTTGACGCATATTCGGGACAAGGGAGAGGGAATGGGGTCCCGGGTGGGTACACACTACTTTGAGGACGAAATAATGAAGAAAATGAGCGGTCCACAAGCTGAACCGCCAAGGCAGTTTAGTAAATGGACCGTTAATGCAAAGACGGAGATGGCAAGGAAAATCATGAGCGGTCCACGTACTAAACCGCCATAGGAGTACAGAAGATGGGCCGTTCAAGGGAACGGCGGAAGGGAGCCGTGGCGAAAAGAAGAAGAAGCGACACCGGCGCTGCAGTGGCGAAGCGGCCGAATCTGGAGTGACGACCGGGGCTCGCATTTGAAGCAGCCGTAGGAGATCCGTGCTGGATCCGCGCCGCCGTGAAGGCGGGAGGGGAGGTGTTGCAGCGTTAACTTTTGGTAGCAATGGTGAGGGGGTCTTCTTGAGGCGTTGTTGCCACAAAGTGAGAGCGGGCGGCGGCCCTCGGCCGCAAAAAGCGGAAACAACCCTCGCGAGTCAGCGCGGATTGTGAAAAGAGGACGAGTGAGGGCTGTAAAATGAGGGGCAGCGACATGAAAGAACTTACCCTGAAAGGGTTGTGCCCGAAAAGTGGTAGCGGGTGGCGGCCTTCGGTCGCAGAAAACGATAACAACCCTCTCGAGTCAGCGCGGATTGTGAAAAAGAGGAAAAGTGAAGGGCGGAAAATTTGAAGCTGCATGTAACATGACAGAGGTATCCTTGAAGGGGTTGTGGCGGAAAAGTGGTAGCGGGTGGCGGCCTTCGGCCGCAGAAAACGATAACAACCCTCTCGAGTGAGGGCGGATTGTGAAAAGAAGGGAAAGTGAAGGGCGGAAAAGTGGAAGGTGCATGTGACATGAGAGAAGTATCCTTGAAGGGGTTGTGCCCGAAAAGTGGTAGCGGGTGGCGGCCTTCGGCCGCAAAAAACGATAACAAACCTCTCGAGTCAGCGCGGATTGTGAAAAAGAAGGAAAGTGAGGTGCGAAAATTTAGCGGCGGTGGCATGAAAGGGTTGTGCCCGAAAAGTGGTAGCGGGTGGCGGCCTTCGGCCGCAAAAAACGATAACAACCCTCTCGAGTCAGCGTGGATTGTGAAAAAGAAGGAAAGTGAAGTGCGGAAATTTAGCGGCGGTGGCATGAAAGGGTTCTGCCCGAAAAGTGGTAGCGGGTGGCGGCCTTCGGCCGCAAAAAACGATAACAACCCTCTCGAGTCAGCGTGGATTGTGAAAAAGAAGGAAAGTGAAGTACGGAAATTTGGCGAGTGTGGCATAGAGGGTTGTGCCCGAAAAGCGGCAGCGGGTGGCGTCCTTCGGCCGCAAAAAACGATAACAACCCTCTCGAGTCAGCGCGGATCGTGAAAAAAGGAAAATGTAGGTACATGTCGGGAAATCGAGTGTCGTGACGAGAAAGGGGTTGATGAGTAGCGATGTGACAACCCTGGTCCCACGCCTAATGTGGTGAACCCGAAAGTCACTGCTAAGTCGACACATTCCGCGAGACACTGGACACTTGTCCTAATGACCAACACCGCCGCAGGCTATGGTTGTGGAATGGAAGGATGCGATTCGCACTCACCCCTACCCCCTCCAGAAGCTTCGGCATCGATGCGACGTGACCCCTCAGTGATCCCTGCGGTAGCGGTGAAGAAGTAGAGTGGTAGTTCGTCGGCCGTAATCGGGTGTTCGGAAAGTGTCTGTGTTTGTGTTCGAATCCGGAAAGTGTGCGTATCGTTTATGAAGGAAGTATGTCGAAAAGAAGTGAAAGAAGTGACGGGATTGTTTATGATAGTAGTGATTCTGAGGACGATGTTTTCCGCCCGCGGAAAAGCAAACGAGTGGCAAAGCAGAAGATGGACTCGGAACGTCAGAGGAAGGAAGGCGCGAGTGGTTGTGCGGAAGAGGTGCCAATCGCGTCAACAAGTGGAAGTGGTTGTGGCGAAAGTGCGACGGAGTGCGAGCCATCAAGTAGCATCCCGATCGATATGAGTTTTTTAGATACGGTGGAAACGCGAAAGAAGAATAAGCCAATGATAAGCCTGTACCAGCTCGCGAACGAGATCCGGTCAGACAATGGACTTCGAGAGTTTCTGCTAATCTGGGGACTAATTCCAGCCACGAAACTGTGTCAATTGTGCGGGAGTTTAATGACATTAGATTTTTCGCGAACATTTATTGGGGAGTTTCGGTGCCGAAAGAAACACGAAAGGAAAGGAGACACTCGCGTATCGCGCATAAAGAAAACCTGGTTCGAGGGTTGTAAGATCGACATTCGGAAAGTGCTAATAATAGTGTATTGCTTCGCGCGTGAAATGACTTATGACCAGTTCATTGTGGAAGCAGGCCTGAGCGAGGATGATACCATCCTAAGTCGAGTAACGGTGTCGGACTGGTACACCTATTGTAGGGAAGTCTGCACGTTAGCCCTCGACCGCGACTACGAGAATGAAGGCCCCATCGGAGGTGACGGACATGTGGTGGAAGCAGACGAGATGAAACTGGGAAGAAGGAAATATCATCGCGGTCGAGTGGTAGAAGGCAGCTGGATCTGGGGTGTCATCGATCGGGACACCAAAGACTTTCGCCTGGAAATATGCCCTCACAATAAAAGAGACGAGAAAACGTTCCGAAAATTTTTTAATAAGCACGTGCTCAAGGGAACGACTGTCAATACAGACGGCTGGGCGGCCGACGCGTTTCTTAAAGATGACGGGTACATCCATGACATAGTGGAGCATAAGCACACATTCGTGACACCGTCAGGAATCCACACCAACACCATCGAGTCGCAGTGGAGACCCTTCAGGCGCCGCCTGGCACGTGGGGAGTGAAACCTGAAAATCTCGCTGATCACCTGTGCGAGTACCTGTGGCGATTCGCGCAGCGGAAAATGAAGAAGGATGCATTTACGGCAATTTTGAATGAAATAGTGAAAGTGTACAATCCCGAAAACCCGGCAGTGTAGAAGAGGAAACGTGAAGCCTCGGTACATGAAGGTAAGCTGTAAATTTTGAATTTCTCGCTGTAGAATAGCTGCTCCGTGTCCGCGCGTCATATCGGATGGTGTCAGCGGACGAGGAGCCTGCCTGGCGTCGGCAGGAGAGGCGGAGAGGCCCGTCTGCACCTCTATTGGCACGGTCCACATTCTAAACTGCCTTGACAGTTTAGTATATGAGCCGCCGATTTATCGGATCTCTTTGATTGTTGGGGGTTTCTTTTTGAGTTTTCCGGGTATTTTTAAAGTGTGTCCCCACCCGGGACCCCATTCCCTCTTGCTGATCCCGAATGTGCGCCAGGGGAAGGGGGATCAAGGTTATTTTCGGGAACGGTCCATATACTAAACTATAGCCCTCTTGGAATCTGCGTCAGATGTTGACTGAATCATCTTTGCTCGTGTTTTGATAAGATACTTCAAATCAAAGTCTTTCGCATTGACCTCTGCAGAAGGTATGTATCCATTCTATTTCATTAGTTTGCAAAAGTAAAATGTATTAAAGTATCTAAACAAATAAATAAATCATAGATAAACAAAGAACATTGCATGGAATAACATACTATAGAGGTACGACGATCGTGGACCGTTGTGGCGTTAGTTCACCGCACCCTCTGCCAGGTTCGCTGCAAGCGCGCGGTAACGGTTTTTAACACAGGTTTCAATAGGGAGTTGGGAGTCCTTATTTATTCTTTTGGTCCATGACAAGGGTCCATTTCTACATTTCTACCAATTTTCCAGTTCCATTTTAGTGATCCCATATTTTGAGGAGTGATTAGCTTCTTTAGAAAATTTGGAAAATGCTTTCAGGTGAGAGGTGAGACTTATCAAAGTAGCCTCTTGTCACCACGATCTTCCACTCAGGCAAGTGTGGATGTAAGACTTAATTTTTTAGATCCAACTCACTGATCGTTACTGCTAAGAATGACGATATTTAACATCAAGATTTATAGCGTGGTTCAAATTTTGTAAAGAATTTTGGAGACGATTTTGAATTTTTTAAATTCAGCTGTGTGAGGTCTAAATGAGCATGATAACCACTGCTTGCCCTGTAATTTCAGGAAAGAGAAGAAAATTATCCCCATGAAATTACTAAGAGGTGTCGTCAGCTAAGTTGACGGTTGTTTACTTTCAGTTTGCAAGCACCAACGACGAATTTGGGCCTTTGAACAAAGCGGCGTTCGCCACTATCCACACTGAAAACATCAGTCTCATGGTCGTATCGTGAAAAAACTACTTATCAGTTATGATTTGCGACTTTTTGTGGTTGCGATTTTTTTTTGGCTAAAAATGTAAGTATTTAAAGGTTTGAAAGTATTAAAAAACTTATCTAAGCTTGTGTTCTTGCTTCTGAGAGAGTCAGATGTTTTCATGTGGATAGTAGTGACGCGAAAGCACCTGCAAACCGAAAGTAAACAACCGTCAACTTAGCTGACAACACCTCTACTTAGTCGAATTCTTGCCAAATATAACTTCTACTTGTTGCTTTGAAAGGCCTTGTCTCCACAGGACGGCTCATGGGATTTGTCCCAAGGAAAAATCTCGCCTGCGAAGTTGGGAAAAATATTGAGTTAAGTAGTCAATACTAATCACAGTACCAACTATGAGTTCTTGTGGAGTCCTATGAATAACTTCATTAGTAAAAGAAAAATTTCGTTGTGTTTTCTAATGTGAAAAAATCCCAGAAGTTTCATTCCTGCCATTCGAACTTGGGTAAAATCCTTTGAAACGTCCGGGGGAGTCAAGGCGAAACACATGTATTGATTGATGAATTGAATCGAAAAATGAATTTGAGAGGTGAGGTATTTTGGAAATAGATCGTTTTAGTGATGACGACACAATCGAGATATATTGCGATTTTAGGGCTGGTGCCCTAACCGGGATTCGGCCGGTTCGATTTACATGGGATTTCCCATGAAAAGGAAAGTCAGTTTTCAAACGCTGATTCTGAGTAGTTTCAGACAGTTTCTGCCGAATTTTCTTGCGCTTGTGAGTTCTATATAAGTCGTATTTTGTTCGACGAAACATGTTCTCTGTTTTTTGTTATTTGCGTCACTTTTTTTTGTAGCCCATGAAAGTGGAGCTGCCAAAAGTGAGGTTAGGAATCCTGTTGCCTTTTTGTCACAGCTGAAACAGTCCTATTTTTTTTGCTGTGTAATTATTTGTTTGTTTACTTTTCGTATCTCTTGTAAACAAAAGTGTCCAGGAATAGAAGTTCTGTGAAATCCGCCGTTAGTCATGGAAATATATCTCATTAATAATATATACGAAGAAGGATAAAGGATCTGATCGTCCAAATGATGCTTCCACAGAATCATCAGCAGATGTATCACGCTATCATTAAAACCTACAATCTGCACCCTAAGTTCTCCAGGTATGACGGTTTTATTATTTATTTTGGGGAAAATTAAGCTATTTAAGTTCTTTTTTTATCTCAAACAATTCAAAGTTCTGGAACAAAGCCTAGCAGCCCATAAGAGTTCAGCAGGAATCTACCTCTGAGTGTTCACTGGTTGAAGCGCAAGACAGAAGTCTCAGGTTTCGAAACGTCTCCACTTTTACAGTCAAATCTAACGTGGTACACTTTGAGGCCAGCAAACTGAACATAGAAATTTTGTGTTTGTCAACTGAACAAGATAAGACTAAGCAGGAATAGAGCTCAGCGATTGGCTGGCTTTGTTGTGCGCGTGTAGAAGGGATTTGATAACAAAGTCGCAGCCACTCAAAAGTTAACTGTAGCCTCTCTTGCATTCCACCCGAGATATGCACAAAAAAGAGGATGACTGATGAAGCAGACCAATCACAAACTGCTATTTCTCCTCAGTCTTTTCTTGTCCCTTCGACAAACACACACTTTTCAACAATTATTCTGCTGCACTGAACGATAGCCTAAGGCAATGAAGAGCGAAAGATAAGTAGCAGAAGCAGAGGGTGTGATTGATATTAGTCCCTCAAAGTACAGCAAAATGGGCCTGTTGCACCAATTTTTTTATTGCTTTAATCGAAAGAACTAAGGCTCCTGATGTCACAGGAATTTTCCCGGAGTTTTTTAATCACTGGAAACCCCCAAAAAATCAACTTATAAACGCCTCAGAATTTGGATTTTCAAAACGGTCGTTTCGGGTCCGCCATACTTGTGACGTGAAATGATATGACAGACCTGGTTTCTTCATCACTTACAATGTATTTTCCTGTAAGGAAATGGCAGCCGCTTTTCAAATGAAAATATCGAGTCAATCGATAGTTATTTGATCAAAATGGAAATCAGAAATGGATTCCTCGTACGTTTAAATGGTCAAAACCTTCATTAGATAAATAAAAACTGACAGGATAAACCCTATTTATAAGGAAGACTGTAGTCAATGGGTGATAGTTTACATCTGCTTATTTTAACAGACATGGACATTAGCTCAATATTTGGCCATTTTCATGAGTTTTTTCTTTTTTGTCACTATTTGAAGGTAAGTTTATTTTGTAAATCAATTGTTTAGTGCCTTAGGATCATGTTAAAAGCTGTAAAGGTATACTTTGTTACTTATTAATTCTGAACACACTCCGGCAGTCCAACGCTCAAACCTGGATGTAGCGAGTCAGTTGTTACTTCTTACTATTTCACCCTTTAATGCTTCGCTGAAGACACCAAAATGATAGTATCAATCATTTATGATGAAAAAAACTTACCTTTGACAATACTGATGAGATGAGGAGACCGGTATGTTTTAGGTGGAGGTAAGGAAAGTAGACGTAGGATCCTTCTTCGGTTACCGCAGACTTTATCGATAAATTTTTCTGTATAGTGTTACATTTAAAACATACAGGATTTTAAAATAACATAAGTTCATAAAACGTGGGAACGTTCTGAATGATATTGAGATGTTTGTTGAAGAGTTAAGAATGATTTACACGCATTGAGAGAACATCCATGGTTTGATTGTTGGACTGCCGGAGTGTGTTCTGAATTAATAAGTAACAAAGTATACCTTTACAGCTTTTAACATGATCCTAAGGCACTAAACAATTGATTTACAAAATAAACTTACCTTCAAATAGTGACAAAAAAGTAAAAACTCATGAAAATGGCCAAATATTGAGCTAATGTCCATGTCTGTTATCACTAAGCAGATGCAAACTGTCACCCATTGACTACAGTCTTCCTTAAAAATAGGGTTTATCCCGTCGGTTCTCATTTATCTAATGAAGGTTTTAACCATTTAAACGTACGAGGAATCCATTTCTGATTTCCATTTTGATCAAAAAATTATCGATTGACTCGATATTTGCATTTGAAAAGCGGCTGTCATTTCCTTACGGGAAAATACATTATATAAGTGATGAAGAAACCATGGCTGTCATATCATTTCATGTCACAAGCACAGAATATATAGGCTTCACCAATCACAAGTATGGCGGTTAAAAAACGACCGTTTTGAATGGGTCGGTTCCAAAAACAGCTTTTTTTGAGTTTGAGAGGTCATTTCAAGGTTTTTTAGTAGTGCCATCGTTCTTTTCGTGAAATTTGCTATAAGAATCCGGCATCAATTTGCAAATCCCCGCACCTTGCAACAGGCCCATTGTCTGGAACACACTTGGTGCAGTGATAAATCCAGCACTTTCCAAAACATGCTCAATGTTCAATGGGCCTGTTGCATGCAAGAGATACAGCCGCGCGAATAGACTTTATAGAGGTTAAATGACACGAAAATTACGATGGTCACATTAAACAAGTCTGAAATACACTCCTTACTGCGCAATTTGCGTTGTTGGAAGCGCGCTTTTTCAAATTTCCCGCGTCGGGGGGCAGTTTTCTAATCACCGGAAACGAGCAAACGGCGGGCTCGGTGATTTCCGGAAGATGCCGAGTTGTTGTTATTTTTTCCTTCAGTTTGTTCACAAACCTAACGTGATCTCTTATAGTGGTCCATATACGCTTTATGCGGTCACCAAATCGATCAACTTTTAAATATCCAACGCAATCCTTCTACATTTCATTTCACGATATCACGAGCTCCGATTTTTAGGTTATGTTGTCAGTTTTAGTTGACCGGAAATAGCCGCGAGTTGCCGTTAATTGTTTCCGTAAGAAAACTGCCCCCCGACGCGGGAAATTTGAAAAAGCGCGCTTCTAACAACGCAAATTGCGCAGTAAGGAGTGTATTTCAGACTTTTTTAATGTGACCATCGTAATTTTCGTGTCATTTAACCGCTAAAAAGTCTATTTGCACGGCTGTATCTCTTGCATGCAACAGGCCCATTAAGTTGTTCAACGTGTAAGTTAGGTAAGTGATGAAACAAAACACACAGCTAATTATTAATGCTGCTTGGTCTATCAGCAATTAAAGAAACCTCTATTTAAAAGATAATCCATAACAGTTTCATAAATTTTCCTCTGTTGCTTTTCATCCAATGCCTTGGTCTGTTTTTCCTATTTCAGATATGTGAGTGATTGGCTTATCGATTACCGTCCATCTGATTTTTCCCGGTTGTATAGAATGACACAGGGGACTTTCCATAAGTTGCATGGTTTTGTCATGGAAAAGTATCCACAGTATGAATGTGATAACGATACTGGAAGGATATTAATAGCTTCAATGGTCAAATTATTAGTCACACTTGAGTATTTGGCCGCACAAGGGCCCTTAAGAAGAATTGAAGATGAATTCGGACTGGCGGATTCAACTGTGCTTAATATAATTGAAGAGATACTTGATATCTTCACTGATAATCAAGGTATCTTCATAAAGTGGCCTTCAGTCGATGAGGCAGAGATAATTAAAAGTGAATTTGAGGATGCCAGTACATTTCCAGGTTTGTAATTTGTAAACGAAAACATTTAATCCTTTCACTGTTGAGTTTGAAGCAAATAGAAAAATTTAGATAAATGCACAATCAAGACCATTCTACACAGGTCAGTCATTCCCAAGGACGAGTTTTGGAACTCCACTGCGCAATGACGTAAGTAGTATTGAGTGTTTGCAATGTATTTCTTATGGGAGCACCCATTGTGACGTAGCATTGAGTGCCGCTGAGTTAGGGCCGGGAGGGAAAGTGGATCTCAAAAAGATGCGCAATGACTGACCTGTGTGGATTGGTCTTGTGCTTAATAAGGAACTTTTTCTACAAGGGGGTTATGTCACGGCAAATCGTCGATCATCACATTTGTTTGAGGTCGTTTCGCCCCTCTTGTCGGAGGAGAATCTCCAATCAACTTTGAAGCACTGCTCTGTATCAATCCAGTTTAAGCTCAATCTACTCTTCATGTATCTGTACTTCTTTTAATTTTACATTCCAAGATTAAAATATTTCAGTTTTCAAGAAAAGTGCTGTAAATTCCCCATTGCTCGTTAAGAAGTCATTGTTAGTGCAAGCACTACCACTAATGATTCATTCTAAATTATATTTCAGGAGTGATTGGTGCCATCGATGGATCCCAAATTGAAGTCAAAGTGCCCATTGCACACATTCATGATTGCACGAATAGGAAATGTAGGCAATCTGTCATTTTGCAAGGAGTGTGCACATATTCTAAATTGTTTAGCTCATAAACGTGGGCTTTCCCGGGCGAACCCATCATGCCAGGGTACTCCAACACTCCAAGCTGTGGCGAATTTCAGAAACGGAAGAAAATCGTCTCTTTTACGGAAATGGACACCTCATCGGCGACTCGGCATACCCACTTAGAAACTGGTTAATGGTGCCATTTACACGTCATAATGGCCTTAATCCAGATGAGGCAAACTTCAACCGGAGACCAAGTGGTGGAAGGTATGTATCAACATTGGAATACATTACATTCCATCACACAAAGTGAACTTAAAGAATGGTCAGGAGCTTCACAAACACTAACTTCAGCTCCAGGCTATAACAAATGGAATGTCCTCATTCTTCTTTTCAGCATTAACCAATGTCACATCAATTTAGGATGAAAGAAAACTATACAACTGGTCCTGAACTTGCAATTTTATCTTTAAGGTTTATCTACAGCTGCGTGAAGTAAGAAATTTCTCCGCGCAGGGGGCGCCACCGCTGTGTTTTGATTTTTTGGTCCACGTTATTAGAGTCCATACTGCTCCACGCAAGTCCTTGAGCTTTTATGAAAGTTAGGGGAACTTCTGTTTAAATCGAAGAGTCATAAGTTCTAGCCATAATATTCTTCTTCATATTGACACTACAAACGACGTAAAAAGAAACTTCTGAAGCTCTGAAATTTGATCCCAGAAAAAAGTAGGGCTAAGCATGATGACCTTGATGCAACCAATCGCGATTGATCGCTCTCAGCAGTTGCAGATATCTCTCTCCCACCATGAGCTGTCTCTCTCGCACTTACAGATATCCCGTAAGAGAAACTGGGATCAAATTGTAGCTCTTATTATTAAACTTTCAAAGTTCGCGTTTGTTTCTAAGGATTCCAGACGTATGCTGCTAGAACTTATGAGTCTTAGAATTTAAGATATCTATTGTGATATTTAAATAATCACTGATTTCGGAGTCGGAGTTTCGCAGTGCGACGTGGTGGATTTTTTCAGAACTACAGCTGAAGATTAACCTTAAGGGTATTTGTTACATTTGAAACCTGCAATCATCTGAAACTGTATGCTTTCCTTTGACAATGAGCCCGCAGAACATAGGATACAACTATTACTTATTGAACTTTCTTCTATCAACCTTAGTGTTTTGATGGTTATCTCTCTTTGAAACGCCTGAATTGTATTCTTAATTTTTTGCAGAGTGTGTGTCAAAAATGCCTTTGGCTGGCTAAAGAGCAGACGGCGCCACCTGGTCTTTATTGCTGTCAATTCCATTGAAAAAATTACTATAATAATTACGGCTTGCTGCGTTTTGCACAATTTCTGTTTGCTTAGCGATTACTTCATGCCAGAAGAAGATATCATCAATGTACCTCCGTTGCCGGAACTTTTATTTACAGGCCCTCAGCAGATAAATACCCTTAACAAGAGGAATACGCTCAAACATGCGCTAGTGTAAGAAGTACAAAAAGGATTTGTCCCTCTCAGATTCTCCTTATAAACTGTTACAGTGCAAGTTCGCTATTGAAGCCTTTTAATTCGGAAAGCTCTATGTTTCAAACGTGAGGCTGATCCCTTTGAAAAAAATCCTTTAATTCGAAAATTGTTTTCTTCTGGGCCGCACTTATTTTTCGAAAGCAAGCTTGTCACCCTGACAACCGCATTATACTAATATTAGCAATCTTCAGCTTTTTGATTTTTCACTTTCATGTAAAATACAAGCAAGAAATGAAAATAACGATGCAAGACTTAATGAATCCAGAAATTTTGGATAGTACAGATTACAGTACTTAAAATTTTGGCCAGAATTGTTCGTACCACTGCTTACATAAAATACAGAACCTCAGGAAACACATTAAAAAAGAAAGCTCCTTATGAAATAATATTTAACAAAAAACCTAGGGTCAAGTATTTACGCCTGTTTGGTAGTACAACATCCATGAGAGTTCCAGAGGAAAAGCAAGCATCAAAATGGGATAAAAAAGCAGACGAAGATATCATGGTAGGTGGGGGTAAAAGGCCGTAATTTTCCGTTACGGCCGTCTGTAGGCACCCGTATTGCATGAAATTTTCGGAAATGTGATAAAATACCTATCAACTATACACCTTTACGCACAAAGTGACACACTTTCCAAAATTTTTAAAGTATTTCCAAAATGTTTACTATTTCTTTTTAAAAAATTTCGGAAATGCTTTCATAATTCTGGAAAGTGTGCCATTTCGTGCCTAAGGTTCTATAGTTGATAGGTATTTTACCACATCTCCGAAATTTGCATGCGATACGGCGCCCGAAAGACGGCCGCAACGGAAAAGCGTGGCCTTTTGCCCCCATCTACCCTACATTTTAGGATCTTTGGTAATTGTTAACAATATTTAGTAAAAGATTTATTATCAGTAGTATTAGTTAATAGATTAAGTATTAGTCGTATTTTAGTGAAGGCCGCATGCGGCCTTTTACCCCATCAGACCTGCGGCTGTTGATGACGTAGGTAAACACAACCTCAAAATTCAAAGCCAAGGCCATTGGCCCAAAAAAGACTGCAGAAAATTCAAACCATCCTCATCATTGTTCGAACTGCAGCTCGTCCGAATTTTTCTATCAACTACAGTACTTGACATTGACTAAATTAAAACTGGAAAAATCTTTTTTTTCCCACGAAAAATTAACTCTCTTCATATTTTCGAGGGAACGCGTCCGTTCAGTTCGAAACTTCGTTAACAGAACAACTTTACCACATCACTACCATCATAACTAACATAGTCCGGCTAAACAATCCTCGGAAAATAACTGGGGTGCGGCCTTTTATCCCCACCTACCCTATGCTTGGATGTACCAAAGTTGGTTACAGGGTTCTTGTAAACGACAAGGTAACAACAACAAGACTTGTGGATATTATTGAAAAGGATGTACACTGTATTAATTTTAAGGATGAAAGTGATACAGATGAGGACTTGGCCTCAGGTAAAGAAAAGGAAAAAGTAAAAAATCGTGAGGATGAAGACAGATGAAAATTTTTAGTAAGAAGAAAATTGAAAACAACGAGTCGAGTAAGTATTTAATAACACTAAGAATTATGACACAAATTTGAGGAAGCGTATAAACTGAAATCATTTCTTATTTTTTTTGTGGCAAATTACGTAGTCTTTAAATTCAAGTGCGTTTTGTATTGAAAACATTTGTAAATTCATCTTTGCACTTAAAATAAAAGATAAATCCAAGGAGGCAAGTTGAGTATGTTGATTTACGCTAGAGAGTAGCACTGGCTAATACTTCTCAAGCTTGTATGTGTGTGTCAGTATCATTTTTGTTGTAGCTTTGGAATGGTGTCGGATGTTGTTATTCCGTAATTTGTATCGGTTCTGTTAATGCGTAATAAAGAAAGTAATTGTTCCTTAATCTATTGTTAAATGCCTATTTCTTATCACTATTTCACTCCACTCTTTGCTTCTTCGCCCTTCTTTCTCCCTTTTGCCGTCGTCTACTTTTTTGGTCTGTTTGGCGCCCGCCACCTCCCCCCCTTATGTCAGCGCTCAAGGCAAGTGCTTGCTTCCCTCTTGCCCATAGGTAGCCTTGTCCTGCCTGTAAGCAATAACCTAATTGCTTGAACCTCACAAGTTATAATTCGGTACTTTTAATGGCTCAAGATAATTGAGCAAATACACATTTGATGTTGAAAGTTGTTTTTGATCTTTTCAGTACATTTGATGGTTAATGCTTTTAACATGGAGTATGAACTCTCAGCTAAAAGCTTTGAATGCATCAGTCATTTTATTTGGTTATCTTACTCTCTGAATCCTTATCATTACTTTATCTTGCTCATCCAATGTAGAGAAACTCCAAGAAGAGAAGTTTAATTAATCATGAGTCAATTTGAAAAATCAACTTATATTACCCTCAGCTTACTTAACCCTCACTTATACGCCAAGATTGGTCGCTGCCAGATCGGTTTTTAGCCTTTTCAACTCTCCATTTCCCAAGCAGTTTCCGCTTGGGATTGATTACCCATCTTCTGTTTCTTTACAGTTTTATTTTCTCATCATAACTTCAACGCGACTTTGTTTTTTTGTAAGAAAAAAGGAAAACCTGATCAACTAGTTAACACCAACGGGACGCATCATCTTCCATTTTAACCCTTTTATTTCATACTTTTTCTTAACCAAGCTTTAACCGTGAAAGGACATGTTATCCACATGAAATTTTTCATAATTGAGTCTCTCTTGCATCACTTCATCATGCGGGTTTTACTCCCTGGGCATGCACAACCCACAGGCTCCAATGCTATTGGGAACCATTCGTTTTTGTTTTATACCTTTTTTAGGGGGTGGGGGATTTGAAAGAAAGTTTATTTATGAAGACACAAAAAAAAGGTTTACATAAATATTTCACTCATTTCCTCAGGGGTAATACCATGAATGAAGATACCTAGAGGGTGATTGCCTAACTATATTTTTCATCTGCTTTTCTCTCTCTTCATTTGAATTTTGTTTCCCTTCGGTTTCTGATTCTAGAATATTTATTTTCTGTATAGGTTGTATTTTCACCATCAGCTTTCTCCTCATCTATTTGTTTCTTATTTTTCTTTGGAATTTTTTGCCACTGAAAAGGATCTGTTATTTTGCTATTTTTTTCTTCTAATTTTTTATTTCCTCTATTACTCTTCAGTTGTCCCTCTTTCTCTTGATTTTCTTTATTTTTCATTCCATTTTCAGAAACCTTAGGTTCATCTTTAACAGGATCTTTCACTTTTTTTATCATGCTTTCTATTTACATTTTTTGGTTCTTTGAAAACACTATCTTCACTTCGATTTTTCACTGTTTCCACACTTGAAATCAATTTCATGCTCCACTTGTCGATGGTTCGATTTTCCTTTTCTTCTCAATTTGCATTAGTCCATTGGGTTTTTCTGTTTCTCTCTTTGACTTCTCTTTTTTCACATCAGTTTGACCAGAAGAAGAAGTCGCAGTTTTGTCTGATGGGAGCGAAGGAGACGATTGTTCCATTTCTTTGGCTTTCATAACTGAAGTTCTTTATCTTCAAGCATCAATTTATAAAGTTCTGGTCTATGGGTTAACTAGATCAACGATTCCCGAATTTTCTCTACATCGAGTCTCTAAGTAAGAGCATTTCGAATTGATGTCAAACAATAGTTTGTAACACTTTTTACAAAAAGTTGCTGCATCTCCATGACAACATTCAATCTCCATAGGTTCTACGATATTTCCACATTTTTCACATTCTTTGAAGTATTTCCAATGGGGACAAAGCAGTTCTGTTGAAATTGAAACTTCCACTTTTTCACTCTTCATTTTGAAAGATTCAAGGCTTATAGCACAAAACAAACACCGTCTTTCTGGAGGGTAATACTATTTGATTATCATCCTGATAAGGGAGCTGCAATTAACGTGTGACCTTCTTGGTCCGAGGTTCAAACTCAACTCCTGTTTTATACCTAACCAGTTTATTTTTGAGAAATGGGTCTTTTGCCAGAGCAGTAATAAGAGGTGTTTCTATCAGTAAATGTCTCAAAAATCACGATGAGCGCATTGGTAAAGTTTGAAATTCACTCCTTACTTCACAATTTGCGTAAGAGATTTGCGTTCTTTTGAGCTTCCCGCTTCCAAATCGATATTACGGCATAGGTAAACATTTCGTTAGAGGTGTCGTTCTATCCAACCCCCGCACACTGTAACGAAACATAGGATTGCCCGGTCATGGACTTCCTCCGCAACTTCTTTCCGCTATATCCTTCGATCTTTATGGAATTTCAGGTCCAAAATATGTGTTCTCGAAGCATTTTCATCGCAGAACCTGATTTTGACCTTAGTTTGGTCGATTTTCACACGGAAACGCATGTTTTTGGGTGTTTTTATGAAGTATTGCTCAGGATAGTAGAAATGAAGGTGTATTCGTAGATTTTCTCTCCTGTTTCTCTCAACCGTTTCACTCCCTTTTCCAAAATTCCAAGTTAAATTTCACGTAGTCTGAAGTATTTTTATCGTAGAATTCGATTTTGACCATAATTTTATCGATTCATCGACGCAAACATTACATCACATCAACATTAAGGAAGAAGTATCGGATACAATAAAATTATACTTTAATATGTATGATTACTGTGCAGTTATTTCAAAGTGGAATAATAATTAGAACGTATTGAAAGAATAGGAAATTAAAGTAAACCGTCAGTTCATGAAAAAACTCTATACTTATTCAGTATACGATTCGCTATTAGAACACAGTTGACGTAAAAAAACGGTTGGAAGGCCTATCTAATCATCTTATTCGCTGTCGTCCGTTCCGCCATCGTCCATCGATTCCTCTACTTCCTCTAAATCTCTTCGAGAAGGTCCTCTTCGAAGTTGATGTCACTGTCATTATTGCTACGATAAAGGACTAGAAGTGCAGTAGCCTTATGAGTTTTAAGATTTTGCGATTAAGATTTTTGCGTTTTTATTAATGTTATCAACCATATACAACTGTTTAATGTAAAACTGATTATTTGATGCATTTCCACTTATCTCTTCGATTGTTTTGGATGCCAGATTCAGGTGGCATGGCAGTCATCAAAATGGTCTAGTAACAGTTAGGATAAAGTCCCCTCGTCGATCAATTTACATCTAATCCTACGATGGGAAATCCGTATTGGCCAGTTACGCTCTTTGTCGCGTCTTAAGCGGATGGAACGCAACCGCATAGGTATTTGCTGATGTTTAACACTACTATGCGTAGTCATTATTATGTTCACAATATTACTTAAATAAAACAGCTACGCCTTAATTCGCAGGGTGTAATAATTGGATTAAGCGCATCTAGCAACCTGCGATATTTGCTTTCGAGAGAGGCAAATTTCTCTAAGCTTACACCGAGAGGGAGGGGGGGGTTGTTTATAATTTAGGTATCTTGGGCAGAGGAATGCTGGTCTTAAAACCGTACAATATATATGAACAATTGTACATTTTCTAATTTTTTAGGAGGGACGTCCCAACGTACGCTATTGCAGGGTGCCTTGTGCCGTCTGCAAAATTCAATAAATTTCACGAATCTGCGCCTCTCTGCAGCCAAATATGGCTGGTTATCATTCTCGAAGGATTACTTGAGCACGCCATATGATTAATTTTTCGGTGAAATGCGGTGAATTTTTTGAAAACTTGCTTAAAGTTCAATTTTTATCTTTCTGAAGCGGGTAACTTTGGAGATACGTGGTAGCCTTCAGCATTGAGATAATTTAAATTGTGACCAGTGAAAAATGTTCTACAGAATCTCAAAAATAAGTTTCAAGCATCAAAATTTACACGGGTTCATCTCACAACAAAATATAAGGGTCAAATAGAGTTTGACGGAGAGAGACCCACTCGTGACGTCTGGCTTTTTCAGACGAAAATCAAAGAATTTCACGAATCTGCGCCTATCTGCAGCCAAATATGGCTGAATATCATTCTCGAAGGATTACTTGAGCACGCCATATGCTTACTTTTTCGGTGAAATGCGGTGAATTTTTTGAAAGCTTGCTTAAAGTTCAATTTTCATCTTTTTCAAGTAGGTAACTTTAGAGTTACGTGGCAGCCTTCAGATTTGACATAATTTCAATCATTACCAGTGAAAACTGTTCCTCAGAGTCTCAACAATAAGTTTCAGGCATCAAAATTTACATGCAATAACGGCACAACAAAATACAAGGGTCGAAAAATTTTTGACGAAGTGTGACAATTTCAGGAACAGCGGAATCTGCCACATTTGAGGAGCTCTAGGAAAAAATTGGAGGAAAAAAATTGAAAATACATGCTAGATTCGTATAGTATGAGCCCTTAGGAACACTTCATGCCCACTCTGGATCCAAAATTAGCGACACCCCCATGTCCGACCTTTTGCCCATTTCGTTACAGTGTGCCCCGTGCACCAGGACACTACACAATATTCAACATGGCCGACACCAATCTGCCAAAAAACATGTGCCTGGCCGAGATTCTAACCATTTGTTAACAACCCAGCATGTTTACTTTCACGATTTCTTCGCGTTGACAAAGCTCCGCTTTGGTCGACCTATTGTGCTCTTAGTTGCGATTTGCGCGTGGAATCGTCGACTATGTTGGATATTGCCATTGCGAAAGCGTTGAATGGAACGACTCCTCCAACGAAGTGTTCACCTGTGGCGTAGTATCGTTTTTAAAGCGGGGATCTAAAAAAACTGCAAATTTCTTACGCAGATTGTGAAGTTAGGAGTGCATTTCAAACTTTGCCAATGAGCCCATTCTGATTTTTGAGACATTCACTGAAAGAAACAATTCTAATTTTTGCTCTAATAATAGTTTGCAACAGGCCCACTGGCTCTTTAGTAGAAAGAGTGCTACTCAGCAAGTCGTATTACAGGGTTGCCACAGTCAGGGAAAACCGGGAA